GGGTCCTGCTGAAAACAGGCCTCTGCTTTGCTCCCCACCCTGCTTCTCTCCTCACCCCATTTCCTTCCACACGATGGGAACATCAGCGTGGGACACGCTGGCAATCAAGGGCCTCGGCTAGGTCGTCTGATCAGGAATCCCATTTCTAACATTTGTAAATTGCTAAAAGGAAAGCAAAGAAGCACCCAGGGCGAATGAGGCGATTCTTCTCAAGCGTTCCCTTCAGTTATCTTAATATTCATGAGTATCGTCTAGTAATGAGGATGTCAAACTGTTTGCTTTCCACAGCAGCAGAGTGGTGACCTGGTCTGGTTGCAGAAACACGGTTCATTTTCTAGGAGAAAACTGTGAAACAGCGTTGCTGCAGGCGTGCAGTTAGGGTTGCGCCAGAAAGCAGCAGGGGCCAGGCCCAAGAGGTCAGCCCAGGTCACGGCTTTAAAATAACCTGCTGCTTCTTTTGGAGAGGAGGGGCTTGCAGAGAGCAGGAAGCTGTGTTATGCCCGGAGTGCTCGGTAGCCAAGGGGGGAAACGTCTGGGTGCTTCGGGAGCAGAGAACATGATTTTCGTGTTGACTCTGTGGACATGTTTGCTTCCAACCTGTTGTAATAATATGCAGCCTTCCCCACAGAGCCTTTGGCTCAGGGTTTGCTGCAAGTTTGGCACTCAAGGAGGCTGGGAACAGGAATCGATATATGTTTATTATTAAAGCTTAAAAATTGATTCTTAATCTGTTAGTGCTTAAATACCATCCCTTTTTATCCACACTGATGTTCTAGCCATGATCATAGATGGTGCAGTTGACCTGTGGGGGTTAGGGGTGCTGAGCTCTGTGCCATAGAAAATCCGTGTATAAGTTTTGACTCCCACAAAACCTAACCACAGTGTCTCTTGCTATATGCAGGGGATTGGTTCTAGGACACCCTCCCCCACTGTGGATACCAAAACCTGCTCAAGTCCCTTATATAAAATGGGGTAGAACAATGCATACGGTTGCCTCTCCATATCCACGGATTCCCAACCACGGATTTGAAAATACTGTTTTCGATCCACATTTGGTTGAATACATGATGCAAAGCGCAGGGATACAGAAGACCAACTGTATCTATTGCGTAAGTGAACCAGTGCAGTGTTGCTCAAGGGCCAACTGTACTTCCTTGTGTAAAGAGGGGAGTAACGACTGAAGGCACTCTAATTCAGCGGCCGCCAACCGGTGGTCCATGGACATCTGTGGTCCGTGAGGTCCGAAAGGTTGGCAACCGCTGTTCTAGTCGCTGTCATTACACACACATGGAGGACATTCTTACGCACTTATTTTGTCTCTGATTATAGCTAATAGACTGACAACTCCTGGTCAGTAGGATATAGATTGTTTCTATGTATCAAGTGATTTAGAAAGGAGAGAGGTCAGAGCAGACTGAGGACAGGAACTAACAATATATATGGAGCCCGGGTGGGTAAACTACTGAACACGCCCAGACACTTGGAGGGCAGAAGTGTTGTAATGTACTAAATATTGTCAACAAATAAAGAGGAGTGCCCCATACCTGGCCAGCATGGCTCAGTGGTTGAGCATTGACCTATGAATCAGGAGGTCACAGTTCAATTCATGGTCAGGGCACATGCCCAGGTTGCAGGCTCAATCCCCAGTGGGGGTGGGGGTGGGGGGCGTGTAGGAAGCCGCCAATCAATGATTCTCTCATCATTGATGTTCCTCTCTCCCTTCCTCTCTGAAATCAATAAAAGTCTATTTTTTAAAAAGAGGGGTGCCCCAGCCCCTGGGGAGCCACTGTGTTTTGGAGCTGATCCCATGGACGGACATGCACACCTCTGCAGATTTTCCCTACCTAGAACCGTGGCGCCAGATTCAGGAGTGAAGCCCACCAGTGGCGAGCGCCTCTCCATTATAAAGTTAGGACCCAGCTGGTGCAGTGAAGGAAAACAGACTTTGCAAGGCTCTTCCTACGCTGGGACCCACTTTCCCCTTTCCTTTTGAGTCAGAAGTCATCAGATGTGGTGGCTTCCTTTGTTGCATTAGCAGATTCCCGGCCTAAGGTGACTTTCTAGACCTATAAATCTTACCGATGTTTCCTCAGATTTGAGAAGGGGTTGGCGAAGGGTTTTGTGGCTCCCTAGGGTCCCCGCCTTTGAAGCTCCAGGTCGAGCCTACAGGAAAGTCGGCCACAGGGCAACAGGTCTGTCTGGCCGCTCAGTGTCAAGCACAGACAACTATCGCATGGGTGGGGGGAAGTCCGCAGAGTTCTCAGGGCCTGATGATAGCTAAAAAAGCATCTCTGATTCCAACAACTGAGAACTCTGTTTAGTTCCACTGATAATTATGAGGACCACTGTGATACTCTGCTGCACAGCAAATGGACATGAGGAAGGTACAGTTGTTAACACTGGAGAACCAAGCCCAAACAGGGACTGGCACACGGGAGCCGAATCCAGCTTGCCAATAGTTTGTATTAATAAAGTTTTATTGAAGCACAGCCACATCCATTTATTTAGGTACTGTCTATGGCTGCTTTCACAGTACAACAGCAGAGTTGAGTAGTTGTGGCAGGTACTGGGTGGCCTGGAGTGCCTAAAATAGTACCTACTATCTGGTCCTTTACAGAATAAGTTTGCCCCAGATCGCTGCTCTAGGCAACTGTCCAATTAGCCACACCACCAGTGGGACCAGAAGTGGTAAGACCTCAGCAGGCATAGAGGGGACTATGGAAATTTGGAGGAGGATGTGTTCACATCTTTTGGGGGAACCAGGAAAAATGCGTGGACCAGGAGGCATTCAACGTGGGCCTCAAAGGATGGATAAAATTCCTGCAGCCGATTCTACAGAGTGGGTTGATGATTTCAGGAAGAGAATGGGGCTTGAACAAGTGGTCACCACATGAGGTGATCTCAGATGTGACTTAGGAAGTGGAGAATGGGATGCAAGGAAAGCAAGGCCAGGGGGAGAGATAAAGCTAGAAAGGGAATGAGGAGAATATTAAGGTCGAGTGAATTTGAACATAACTGTAAGCAGACAGTCACTGGGGGTTATTTAGTAGGGTAATGGCATAATATCTGACTCGGCCATTTTTATATGGAAATAGTGTCAGTTATTCTTTAGTTCAGATGAACCACCTGTAAGCCTTATTAGTGAGTTCATAAAGTGAAATCTACACATGGCAGAGGGAAAAGTGTTCAGGTCTTAAAGGCACGCAAGAGTGGGTTCCCATCACAGCTGTCCTCACTGAGTCTGGAGGCAATTTCTTTTTCTTTTTTTTAATTTTTTTAAATTGATTTTTTGAGAGAGAGGAAGGCAGAGTGATGGAGAGAGAGAAACATTGATATGAGAGCGTAATATCCATTGGCTGCCTCCCAATGCCCCCCCACCCGGGATTGAGCCCTAAACCCGGGCATGTTCCCTGACCAGGAATCAAACTGGCAACCCTTTAGTGCACGGATGTCACGCATCCAGCTGAGCCACACGGGCCAGGGCAGGGGTAATTTCTTTAACCTCTCAGAAGTTCCATTGTCTCATCTGCAAAATGGAGATAATATTAGCACCTTGACATGGTGTCATGCATGAAAATCAAGAGAAGCAGCATAGCTAAAGTCCCCAGAGAGGGCCTGGGATATAGAAGTCACTTCATTGATGTTAATTCTTGTTGATTCTTTCTATTAAGATGAACCATATAACACTGTTGTTTCTTTTTCTTTTTTTTTATTCTTTATTGATTAAAGTGTTACATAGTTTCCTTTCCCCCCATTGACCTCTCCCCTGCCATTCCCTCCCCACAGCACATGCCCTCACCCCTGTAGTGTCTGTTCATTGGTTATGCTTATATGCATGCATACAACCAAAGGGCTTGTATGCATGCATCTAAACACCAGTCTTTCTTGTTTTTTGTTTGACCTACGAAAAGTGCAATTTCATTTGGTCCAACTTAATGCTTAGGGGAAGCAGCTAGAGAGAGGACAGGTTGATACTTGCCCACTGTGACATGACAAATCTCTTGACACGCTAAGACTCACTTTGGGATGCGCCTCCCACACCTGGCCATTCTGAAAACACAGACAGGATAAGCACTGAGGTGGCCTGTGTTACCTCTTCCAGGTGCAAAACCAGCGCTACGGGCAAGCGCCAGTTTGGAGCACGGCCTTAGCCGCAGAAAATGGAGATCCGTGGGGTTGGCTGAGTGACTGAGCTTCTATCTGCTGCTAAACTGTGGGGTTTGGTGTCCTTAGTCCCCACAGGCCTTAGGGCCTCGGGTTGCTGTTGTCTTTGTTGCAAAGGTCTGCCGGCTGCCAATGGGGGAAGGGGCTGGAGAGAGTCAGTGTGCATCTGTTGTTACTGTGAGTGACAGCACCGGTTCACAGTTCAGTCCGCAGACAAAGGGAGTGAGACAAATGGAAGACAAGCTGCCATTTGGGGCGCACGGAGCTGCTGAATGGCCGGTGTCCTTAGCACATTAGCAACACATTGGAGCGAGGGGATGGCAGGAGTGACGTGTGCTACAGAAGGATGTGGCAGGCCCGGGGACAACAGAGCAAGAAGCTGCAGACTCACCCTCACAGAGGGACCCAAGTAACGCGGACGCTTTCCTCCAGGTCGCCTTCCTTGGTGGCCAGGCATTATTGAGCCGCCTTTCATCGGCTTTGGGTCCTGGCTCTGTGACCCACGCAGCCCCGAGCGAATGTATCATGTTTGCACGGTGCTTGCCGGTCCCAACAAAGGACGAAGCCAGGCCAACCCTGGCTTGTTGGCTTTACAAACGGAGGCTAGAGGTTATGCCCACCAGCTGAGGATGAGAGCGGGTTCCCAGCCACTCGGGACAGAGGCAGCGTGTAAGCAGACAGTAGCCCAGCCGCTCCCGGCCTCCCAGGCATCTGAGGGCACCACTGTCATAACCGCACACAGAGCACCCCTATCGCAAAGCCCTTCACTGCGGCTAAGACCCTGC